TATATTGTCCTTTTTACACATTCACAATATATGTAAAACAGATTTAGCGTGCAGTCTCTCATGTCCGAGATGGACCGCTTGCAGAAGAAGGGAGATCTTGATGAGGACGTGCTGCGTGCGCTAGAAGAGGATGTTACAGGAAAGGTCCGTGTGCTTCGCAACTTACTCAAATCTTTTCACGAGATCAATTGACACACACTAGATCATGCTAGCGTCTTGGCGAGGCACGCGTTTCGAAGTCGTTCAGGTTCTTCGGGAGGTGCGGTCAAGGGTTGCTTATGGGTATGCGGTAGTTGAACCATTCCTATTCAGGTTGTGGATAACGTGCTCAAAGATAAGGAGGCGTCCGATCAGGTTTTGTTCCATCGCGCGAAGGTGTGTCATTTTGTTGCCATTTGGAGACCGTGTCCGCATCTAGATGTTGACATGACGTCAATCTTACTTTGTCAGGGATTGATGATCCTGGGTCATATATTCAAAAGCACGGTTCCCGATGAGAGTGACGAGGTCCGACGCGAACTTGAGCGGTGCGTTCGGCTCCTAAGTTGATCCGCGGTGGCTGATGCGGCCTCACGTCGACTTTCTATTTTACATTTTAGAATGGTGGCAGAAGCAGCAGAGGGCAAATCAAAGCATCCCCACTTACGTGGAAAAGCCCGAAGAGAAGGCAACATAACGCCTGAGATGCCGTCGAATGGAGGCGAGCATCCAATGAAAGAACAGGTTGAAGGAGACTCGAAGGCACATACATTTTACTAGTAGTGCTGAGACAGCCAGGGTGAAGCGAGCAAAGGCTCGCGCACGCGTTCACGGTTACATATGCGATCAGATCTTAGGACTGCGTTTGATTTTTATGACTATTCTTTCAAACAGCTATCGAATGGGACCTAGGATGAATCTTTCTGTGATGCTCTACATATAAATGCATACATGGTGCGGTAGTTACCTATCTCTGAATCTCATGAACATGCTAAATATACACACTCTTATAAGCTCTCCGTTATGGATTGCGTCACATGCTGGCCTCGAAGGCCTCTCGTACCTGTCATATTAAAATTGAACACAACGGCATGATGATCGAGATCAACCAATAAACAATACACATACCTGCATGAAAAAAACTTTGTCTGCCACCACACGAAAACCGGTACACGCCAAAGCCTTGGTGGTAATCATACATGCTTTGTGGGCTTCCGCGGTTCGCGCAGAGTCAGCGAATGCTGGCGAATGGTTTCCCCCATTGGGCTGCGTAGGGATGGCTAATTTAGTGTACGCACCGAGGACGGTCAGATAAGTGTAGAGATAGCCACGCCGCACAACATACCAAAAGCTGGATGTAGCGAGGGCAAGACTAAAATACAATGAGTACAAATTTGCCATCCGACTTCGGAGGAATGCACTTGCCGTATGAAACATTACCCTAGATCGGAAGTGGTCAATGGGTATGTATCGGGAAGACTTGATAATCACACATACAAAATCTGTGGATGCCCCTGAGGGATATTGCCCGACACTCCCAGATTTAAGAGATATCTCATGAGAGAAGGCAGCTGCTACATACTAGTGTTAATTATATTGATTCACCAAAAACATCTGAGAAGGCAACTTACCAAGGATGCTGTTCTGCCGTAAATCGTAATAGGGCGTGTTCTTTGTGATCTTGAGACGGCAGGAAGTTGCCAACGCGGCACCCCTGTGGACATTGTAAGATGCTGTCGACCGTACAAATGTCATATAGAGACTGACTCAAAACAGGCGGACACTCTTTCTGTCAGTCGCGTTAACTGGTCTCGCGTCGGCGCTCGGACATACCACCTCATTTTGGCATAGTCAGGGATCACTGTGAAAGGCTCGCTGAGTTATTCACGTATCAATGACAGAAATTGCTAGTGTACCATTCGCGGCCCTCTTACTGCCATTTATAACTCCGTTTACTCTGTGGTCAGGTTTGATCTGCTGTCGTAACACGGAGACGCTGGAGTATGCTAAGAACGCAGCATCAAGTGCGTTGGCACCTTCCCATGGAGCATCGCCAGCATGAGCGCTGTTGCAGATTAACTCATGAGACCATATACGGACCACAGGACCCACGATTGCCCAAAGAATTCGGCATCTATAGATTGCATCGCCAACGAAGATACCACAAATGACGACAGCTCGGGCCCAGGGGAAGGATGACACCTGTATTAGCCACGCATGTATCAGCGATGTTCCGAATGCATTCAGCGGGGAACACGGACATTAAACAAGCATCCATCCCTTTGTAGGCCCCCCGCTCAAGCAGGATAATCTTTCCCCCACCGCCTTCTTCAGCTGAAGGAGAGATTAATGCCTCGTGTCGGGCCGGATTCAAACTCGTTACCTGGGGTTCCTAGAAGAACGACAGTGCCAGGAACGTTGTAGGTTTCCAGTGCGGATTTTATGGCTAATGCCACACCTACCCCACTGATTGCAATGAGGTTGTGGCCACATGCATGCCCAATCTCAGGTAACGCATCCATCTCCGAGTTAATCCCAATGGTTCTACCTCCCTGTCCGTGGGTATATTCAGCCTTCCAAGCAGTCTTGAGGCCGAGATAATGCCTCGTCACAGAAAACCCGTGGCTTTCCATGTAATCAGATAGAAGGTTGTGAGCAAATCTATGAAGATTTCATCAGTAAGATACACGAGGGATACACGTGCTGCAGACATTTCTTCAAACATCAATTCCGGGTGGCCTGTGTATCCCACAGTCAGAAATATGAACGAGGTCAGAGATGAGGAGCTTACTGTGAATCTGAAGACTGAGTAATCGTAAGGATGAATCGAGTGTGTCGATCATAGTTTCGATCGTGTGCCTTATTTCTCCACGTATAGAATCATTAGGAGAAGGCGGGTCTGAATAAACGGGAGGAGCCTCCCACTGGTATGTTGCAGTACTGAATTTGCTGCTTCCAAAGTCACAGCACGTATCGTAAAACACGCGAGAGGTCAGATCGGTCTATGGGGCAATGGAGAAGTTGCGCGCAAAATGATGCGAAGATAAAACATACGATGTCAGTGTCCCTTTCTGAATCAGATGCCTTTAGCGTCTGATCACATATATGGGTTGAGTTCACTTGTTCTGTGAAACTCTTAGGTACGCTTTGAGGTTTCAACTTGAACAAGCGTCTTAGAGAAAGGCACCCGCTATGGTGATTGGCATCAGAGGCGTCTAAGGACATCAGAGAGACAGTGATAAAGTGGTGGCGAAGAGTGAGGGATCACTAAATGGGGTCCCTGGTAACATGTCTGAGTTTATCAACTATTCGGCGCTTGACACCTGGTGCATATCGAACGCGGAATAGAGTGTGATCCGTACTCCGGTACCATCGGGGTTAGGTAAGTCTACGCGTACGATTGCTCACGTTCATCTGTGATAGAAGATTGAATCAGGCGCTACTTCGTGTGTATCTACACAATCTCAAGAACCTGGTCGTAAGGTCAATGAAGTCGTGCGAGATCCTGCAAAGAACTTCCCGTACTTTCACCACCGCGGAAAAAGGAACCTATTTTTCTCCATATGTTACCCTCTCGTTGTGGTGTTGGCATATTGTCTTGCCCGCTCAAGCCTAGGACAATCCTTCCGTGGCGTGAGGAGAGATGACAGTGATCCGTGGATTTACTCCCTTCAGCTGTCGGAGCACTGTCGCCGATGAGTAACAACGTTTTTGTCCTCTTGCCGTTCATGCTGCGGATGCTGCTAGACAATCCTGGAAGAATGTGATAACCACCCAATTTGCTACTGCGTATCTGCACATCCCCACAAAAGGTCGGGGGAAGTAGTACTACTATCTTGCCTGCAGATGCAGAGATGTGTCAGTACAAATTACAAATAAGTATGACGCAGAAGAGGAGCTGAGGATCAATGTCACTTTTGATGTGTGACATAGAAAAGACAGATTTAGGCGTAGTAGAAACGAGACTTTCCATGGTTTCCCATGTGGAATCCGAAGAACACGGCCCTCAGGTCATCGGACCTTCCATGCGCGCAAACTACAACCCGAGCACCATCGGTTTCAACTCACCTCTTCGGGAAGTTACTTTCAGCGTGATGCGTTTACCAGGATGTACGGAACTCTGTTTTCAGAAACATACATAAGGCCCAACGTTATGGAGATGGAGTTTGTAATTCTTACTCACCAAGTTAACGGCAATATCCCCATGGCGGGTCGAAACGTCAATTATTGCCCGATTACATTGTTCTGACGATCCTTTGGTCGCTAGAGTCAGAAAAATGGACCCGAACCGATTGCGAAAAACGGCATGCGGCGCTGCAGAGAGGAAGTCGGCTGCTTTCCTTAGCCCTACTGGGTCACTGTGCCTGGCTGCAAAGCCTTGCAGAACGGATGTCTGGTCTCCTGACTCGTCAGGGTCAATGATGTACTTTCCTGCATGGGCCGAACTTAAGACAAACACATGTGCAGAATACAAAAAGCTCACCTGATATCAACTCATGGTGCTTTTCTAGCCGAATGGTCTTCACTGTTGGCGTATTGGCGAGCTCCGAGTCTATTGTGACAGCGGACACTCCAGCAGAACTTGACGTGAAATTACTGTACGGCGGAGGGTCACAATCTGGAGTATGGGATGGTGAGGGTTCCTTATCATCTTGAATGAGCATAGCGGTATGTAGCTGCAGTTCTTCCTTGTTCTGCAGTATCATTTTTAAGACAGTACCGGCGTTGTGAGTTAGTACCGTTGGTAGTAGAAATAGTCATACTACCAAAGTGGGTCACTGTGGACCCCGAGCACAATGATCCTGAACGCCAGCGGAACTGCGCATGAGCTGCGCCCCTAGACTGCGCACTGCTACCGTGAGGCTGACAACTATAACTGTCATGGGTCAACTGGTCAAGTTTAGGTACTGCGTCGCGTGATACAGGAATTCAATAAATATTACACTGGTATATATACCGAGTCTACATGAAGGTTCAGAGAGTCAGTTCGCCGGATAGTTCGGGGATCATGGCAAGAAAAAGGGCCTGGCCGGGAATTGAACCCGGGACCTCCTCGATATTGACTATCGCCCTAACAAGGAATCATACTACTAGACCACCAGGCCATGATGGTCGAGTCGGCTTTGGTAGACTATTAGCACTCATTGCTTTTCCAGGCCATCGAAGGGGAGAACTTGAAACTAGAGTTCCTTGCGTTTCATGAATTAGGCGTCATAGACGAATGAAAAAAATTGTTCTTCCAATACATAACATGGTCAATATTCAGGAATGCACCGGTGGCATCGATTCAACATTGAATATTGAATGTTCATGAACCTTGCAACGTTAATCGCTGAGCTATGTGTGGTAATCTTTAGAATTCAATAGACGTAAACAGGACGTCGGATCAAGTTCTAGGCTGCCGTAACTAGTCTTCCTCTTCCAGTGTCCACAGCGTGTTGCTTGTAGTCGGCCTGCAGGTGCAGCAGTGGAATATATAAGACGCTGGCGACGATAAGTATGACGTCCGTAACTCAGTATGCCCACACAGATCATCTCGGGCAGATCTTTCAAGGCCTGCGGAGCCCTGCCCACGATGCTCGATTGCAAGCTGCAACAGAATTGCGTCGTTATGTGCGTCCATCGTTCATGCATGCGAGCTACCTCTCATATTCCAGCAGGTTGCAATGACTGTCGCAGAAATGCCATCTGATGCGGTAGCAAAACTTTGGGATGATGACATCAACAAACGCCTGTTCGACCTAATGCACAGCCAGAATAATGTAGATAGATTAGGCGGACTTCTGGCCGTAGGTGTGTCCAAACTTTATAGTGCTATGGTCGTATAGCTCATGCCACTCAGATCACCTCCTTGAAAGTGAAGGAGAGGACACTATTGGTTCAAAGAAGTACCTCTTTCGGTTTTACAACTATGTCAAGCAGCTACTGCCAAATCACGATGTCAACATCATGCTGGCCGCATCCAAGACACTCGGCCAAATTGCTGCAATAGGCGGGGCTGACTTCGGAGAACGCTTTATGGATTTAGAAGTTCCAGCCGCAGTAGAACTGTTACAGGGTGACAAGCAGGAGTCCCCCCGCTATGCTGGAGTACTCATCTTGAAGGAGCTCGCACGCAACAGTGCGATGTATTTTCACTCCCACATCAGCCTCGTATTTGACAAGATACTCATACCTCTTCGGGATTCTCGAAACATTGTCAGGGAGGGAGCTGCAGAGCTCCTTGCCGCATGCCTTGAGATTGTTACGACACGTGAACGGCAAACACGTACAACTTACCTCATGAAGATTCTTCAGGACGCGCAACTAGGACTCAAAATGTCACAACCTGAGGTCATTCATGGGTCTCTTCTCACATACCGAGAACTGTTGTTACATGGCGATATGGCAAGTGATTTCAGCGCTGTCATCGCATTTGAATGATATTTGCCTTCAGTTTATGAGGGAATCGTTTTTGGATACCGCGGAACAAATTCTTCGCTTCAAATCACATCGAGACGGTCTCGTCCGCAAGATGGTCATCACCCTAATCCCGACTCTCGCTGCCTACGAAACGCAGGTTTTCTCGGAACACCACCTGCACAAATCCATGGGACATCTACTAACACAGCTGGAAAAGCCAAACGAGAGGTCCTTTGGTTCGCATTCCCTTATCAGTCAAAATGCTACATATTAATGTATTTTTGTCAGCATTCATCGCCATCGGTCACACTGCCACTGCTGTAGGAAGTGATATGAAACCTTTCCTCGACTCTATCATGGCTCAAATTAAGTTTGGTCTACAAGCCAGGGGGTACGTCATACATAGACTGTTGTATGCAATCATCAGAATTCTTTCTACAGAAAGAAGAATGCTCCTTCTGAAGAACCTATTTTCCAATGCGTCGGAATGCTTGCTTCGGCTGTCGGTCCAAACCTAACGAAGCTTCTTCACGATCAACTTGATTTATTCTTTGCGTGTGGCCTGAGTGAGCCTCTTAGACAGGCGCTGATGGCCATTGCACGTAATATCCCTCCTTTGCTAAAGACTATTCAAGGTGCGTCAGTTGACACCACACATGGCATTCTTGTTAAAACAAATACATCGCCAGACCGTCTACTGGATCTACTCTCCATGATCTTATGTGGACAGCCTTATAAAGCCATCGGAGCCCCACCTTCCCTCGCCCTTGTCAGAAGTGACGTCTCTGCATTTACAAGAGACTTGAGCTCATCCCAGGTAAGTCATTTCACACTTCTGTCGATCGTACTAAACATGACTCGCGAAGACCACTAGGAGCGGTAAGAGTCCTGAGCTCATCACACTTGCGTTGTCTACGCTTGGCACCTTTGACTTCAGCGGTAAGCTACCTGCTGCTATTTAATTTAGTGTACTCAACATGAGAAGGTCATATCCTGAACGAATTTGTTCGCAATGCTGCTCTTCCTTATCTGGAAGACGACAATGCAGACGTTCGACGTGCTGGTGCTCTCACTTGTTGCAGGCTGTTCGTCAGAGACCCGATCTGCTACCAAGCGAGTAGTCACGCGATTGAAATAATCAGTGATGTTCTTGACAAACTCCTCACAGTAGGCATTGCAGACCCGGGTAAGTTCATTTGTTCTCCTACAGGCCACCTAACATAATCATTATTACTTGAAGACCCTACCATTCGGCAGACTGTCCTGTCTTCTCTTCATGAAAGGTTTGATAAGCACTTGGCACAAGCGGAGAATGTCAGGTCAATTTTTATCGCTCTCAACGATGAGGTCTTCGAGAATCGTGTTACTACTGTTACTTTGATTGGACGTCTTGCCAAGCATAACCCTGCCTACGTCATGCCCTCCTTGCGCAAGGCCCTGATACAACTATTGACAGAGTTAGAATACTCAACTGTGATGTGCGTGCATTTATCCCCATGAACTAGCACAAACCATGAATATTTCTACAGGCGAAATCGCGAAGACTGCACCCGTCTTCTCACTCTCCTAGTGGGCGCGACTCAACGTCTCATAAAGCCATATGCACTCCCTATGCTCCGCGTCCTACTGCAAAAGGCGAATGATAGCAACCCGGCTGTGGCTGCTAATGTTCTTATGTGTCTCGGGGAACTGGCAGCCGTTGGCGGGGAAGATGTGGCTCCTCATATCCCGGAGCTCATGCAGGTCATCATCTCCAGACTCTCCGACCCGGCTCATGTCAAGCGTGATGCTGCTCTCCATACTCTTGGCCAGTTGTGCTCTAGTACCGGGTATGTCATAACACCCCTAGTAGACTATCCTCAGTTGCTTCCGATCTTGGGACGCATTCTGAGAAGCGAATCCGCTCCGCATGCACGCCGTGAGGTTGTAAGAGAAGTAGTCAAAGTTCTTGGTATTCTTGGAGCTCTGGATCCGTACAGGCGAAAGGTCTGTCTGGTATGCGTCTTCACTTCAACTTACTGACATATCCTTAGACGAGGCCGGATGAGGAAGCCACGAATGAAACGCCACTTCCTGCTGTCAATGCTGTTGCCATTTCTCAGACAGGATCATTGACAGGTAGCGACGACTACTACCAGACTGTTGTGATCACGTCTCTTCTGGCTGTTTTGAAGGATCAGTCACTTAGCAATCATCACCATACCGTCATCGAAGCGATTATGAACATTTTCAGGACGCAAGGGTTGAAATGTGTGGCCTTCCTACCGCAGGTGCGTCGGTTCTCTTGCTGCAGCATGATCGAATATTGTACTGACCCAAATATTTCGAAAGATTATTCCTGCCTTTACTGCTGTGGCTCGCACCTCCACGGCCCGTTTGCAAGAATTTCACTTGCAGCAATTGGCTATTTTGGTTGGGATCATCAAGCAACACATCCGCAATTATATGCCAGAGGTCTTTAGCCTCGTGACAGAGCTCTGGGAGAACGCCTCCCTTCAGCTTCCCATAGTATCGTTGATTGAGGCACTCGGGAAGGCTTTGGACGCTGAGTTCAAACCTTTTCTGCCAACTATCCTGCCTCATCTTCTCAAAGTCTTCGAAGGAGACCTCGAGAAGAAAATGGCTACTCAAATCAAAATTTTTGATTCTTTCCTCACATTCGGGGCAAATATTGAAGAGTACCTTCACCTCGTCATCCCCGTCATTGTCAAATCTGCTGAGCGACCTGATGCTACCACCCAGCTCCGCAAGAAAGCAATACAGACTATAGCCCATTTATCCCTCCGCGTCAATTTCTCCGACCATGCTTCTCGCATCGTACACCCCTTGATCCGTGTGCTAGAGGGAAACAACAACGAGCTTCGGCAGGCGGTGATGGACACCCTTTGCGCACTAGTTGTCCAACTCGGATCTGACTTTGCTATCTTCGTGCCCACTATCAACAAGGTGCATATAATTGAGTCTATTCCTCCTTTTTGGATTGTTGACAACAAGATAGTGCCTGCTCCGGAATCGTATACCTCATCCCCGGTATGAGAATTTGATATCGAAGCTCCTGAACGGGGAACGTCTACCGCAAGAGCCGGGCACTCATGACTTGCTGTACGTCTCTTTTTGGTAACTTCACGACATCAGTTGATGTTCCTTCAGCGAATCTAAGGCTGCAGAAATCTCTGTACCTGCGGAAGCAGCTAAATTGACTGTAAACCAACAGCATCTGAAGCAAGCGTGGGACGTGTCCTCCGCGAGCACACGGGAAGATTGGACAGAGTGGATGCACCGCCTTTCTGTGGAGTTGATGAAGGAATCTCCGTCGCACGCGCTTCGGGCTTGCATGAGTCTTGTCGATATTCATCCTCCTTTGGCGAAAGAACTGTTCAATGCAGCATTCATATCCTGCTGGACAGAACTCTATGATCAGTATCAAGTGAATCCACTTTGTACTCATGACCGATTCATGCTAACCGCTTAATCAGGAAGGACTCGTGCGATCCATCGAATGCGCCATCACCTCCACCACTGCTCCATCTGATCTTGTGCACCGACTACTTGGCCTAGCTGAGTTCATGGAACACGAGGAGAAGCCCCTCCCTATCGAGCACCGCACTCTGGGAGAGTATGCCATGAGGTTCCATGCCTACGCGAAAGCTCTTCACTACAAGGAGCTTGAATTCTTTACCGAAACCTCCCCGAACATTATCGA